CACCACCCCCCATTCCATGGGGCGTGGTGAACGTAAAAATGGAGGTAGAGAGATGATTCTGCCACCAATGGAATCGTCAGAAAGTAAGCTTTAAGATGAGTATGAGCACCGGATAATGCCATGATTGGCCGCTTTACGTCAGGCGTTTCTTTTAGTTTGTCCAGCCCTGTAATTAAATCCCATAGACATTTGTTAAAGGGCCTAAAAACTGCCCTTCTTTGGGAAGCTGTCACGAAATCATTTTTCGACGTAGAGGGATGATTCTGGCACCGTTGAATACGTCAAAAAGTAAGCTTTAAGATGAGCCCAAGAAGTGGAAAACGCCAAAATTGAAAATTTTAGCCAGGTCGGTCCCCTTAAAACGTGATTAACATAATTTGCGTAGCTCATTTAAAAAAATTGCAGCTATTTTTGTATGACGGGGCAATAAAGGACACCCCTCAGGGCAATAAGGGACACCCCCTTGAAATACATGCACAGTACAACCTCTCTTAGCAAAAGCTTCAATTAATATAAAATCAACTAACAACAAATAATTTTGATTACATTTACCTTGCCCACCAAAAAAAAATTCACTTGACAAGTTAATGAAAAATTAATGCATCTTCAGTCATTACAAAATTGTGCATAGAATGTCATTGATAGAATTGTACACCAGGCAACATGGAATGTAAAGTAATTAACGCATTGGCCATGATGTGTGCCATATATCTACACGCTGTACTTCTCAGAATCCAAATGTGTACACATGTTGTACATGCCTATGACTATGAAAAATAAATATTTTTATAAAATCTTGTTACTCTTTCAAATTTAAAATTTCAATGATATAATTCAATAGGCATGTTAGGGAATGCTTTGAAGTCAACTAATGCTTAGAGAAATAGTTTTATTTTCAAATGCAATTAATACAAAAACTACAAAATTTGTGTCCATTGATGAAAGCAATAAATATATATACATATCTATCTTTGCATGAAAACAAAATAAAATATTATTTATTGATCTGAAACTACAACATTAGATGTTGCCAACTTCATTAT